ATATGGTTCATGGGGTCACGAAGAGTCGGACACGACTTAACGACTAAACAACAACAAGCACTTTTACACATAAGATGGAAGTACTGAGTAGGTACTTTAGTGCATTCTTCCTGAGAGGAGATGCTGAGGGTCCCCAATCTATGGGGGGTCAAGTGGATAGGTCTCAGAATCTATGCTTTTTGGCATCTTCCCCCATGTTGCAGAACGATAAGTATTTGGTGATTAATGGTCAATGGGATATATCACAGCTTGAGTTTTTATAGATTAAGTTTTATTACATTTTTATGAAACTGGATGGATTATAGAGAGATTGCTTACTTATACTGATACTTTTATAATTGTAAACAGCCCAAATTCTTCAAAATTCAAACTGCTATACGAACAAATAAAATGCTGGCGTACTTAGGGAAATTTTTTTTGTAAAAACACCAAGTTTTTATAAAAATACAAATATGTATTTCAGAAAATATAAAATAAAATACTCAAGTAGAGTTAAAATACTGACTATGGGAAAGGGGTGAGGGAGAGGACCACCAGGAAACTGATGCACGAGAAAGTGGAAAGTGGCTGTTATTATAGAGGATAACATCCACAATTGACTGAAATATTACTTTGGGACAACCATATTTTTATATAATCCATACTAAATGTAGTAAATTCTTGGTTAACAAATTAGGCGCATGATAATTATGCTACATAAATTTGATAGGATAATTCACAATGACAAAATAGTATTGCCTCAGTATGTTTTATTTTTCTTAGGATCAACATAATTTTTTAGTGTTTTTCATACAAAAATACATGATATGATACTAATAAAATATTTTTAAAGTATTCTAACAGTGAATCACATGGAATATGCAGACATAAAAAAAAGTTCAGTAGGAACTGGTAATATGCATTAACCTCAGTGAAGTTGATCCTTACTAATGTAATCCATCAGGAAATACAGGCTTTCTACAGCTGGTTACTATCTTCACTTCTGAAATGCACTTTAAATATTTAGAAATGCAGTTGCAATAGACCAGACACAGTGTCAAACTGCAGTTCATAGAAAATGCAGTAGGAACCCAGGCACTGAAAATATAATTTAAATTCTCACAGTATTTCACAGGGAGAATTTTAAAATTCATCCCTATGTAAGCAGAAAGCAGCTGCATATAGTTCATTTTACATGGCAATTTCTGTGATGCAAAACAGCTGTGCTTCCACTAAATAGTTAATGCCAGAATTGCACACTCCACAAGAAATAGTGCTGATAAATTTAAAAGGAAGTTTTTGTTCCTCCCACTATATAGTTATACTCATATGTAGAAACCAAGCTTCATTTGCCCAAAGCAACCCTTTAATCAAATAAAGATATGTCTGCCATAAAGCAATTAGTGTATATTAAACTGATACTCCCTTTAATAATAAAAGCATCTGCTGCAACACTTGAACTGGAGACATGCCGCCCTTTGTCATTTCCAAATCTATGGGCTATCATATCTATAAAGCAACTCATAAAATCAAGATATGAAGTTTAAAAATGACAGCTTTACTATTCAGAACTAAAATTTCACCCCATTTTAATTACAAAGCTCAAACAAGTTATAAGAGTTACAACAGTCAATTGGAAAGGCAGTACTGGGGCAGGAATAGGATTTTCAGTGTTCTGTATACAGCAGTACAGTAGCTGAGTCAGAATGACCTCAGGCAAATTTCCTACTTTCATGTTAATGTTCCTGTAACAGATTGACTCCTTTCTGCTAAACCAACTGGAACAGCAATTATCACATTGCATCATGGCTTTCATCTAGCAATAAGAAGTAGCTAAAGAGATCTGCAGAGCATGACTATATTTCAGTAAACAAATTCAATATCAAACCTTATCTTACATTTAAGCAATCAACAATCTTAAAATACAAAGTCACTCTGAAGTACTGGGCATTTTAATTTCCAAAATGCAGTGAAGGAAAAGTATGAATTAATTAATGGCTGGAAAAAAAATGTCATTCAATAAATCCCTTACTAACTTTCTATATTTTCAGGTCTGAAGCCGCAGATGGATTCTTTATAGGTATACATATACAAGTATTCAAATGTGAACTTTTTATAACAAATATTCAGTAAGTATCCAACATCACGAAGTGCAGCACAGTTCATTTACACATCTGCCACAGCCAGTACAAAAATAATTGTGTATGTTTCTTAACACAAGTAATCAAGATATGGGCTTTTTTTCAGCCCTCTGAAAAAAATTTTGTGGAAAAATCTTCCACAAAAATCTCTCTTGCTCTTTCACAAACTGTAATCACGGTATAATGTTATGCTTCACTGTCATCAGCCTCAGTAACATATTTAATGGTTCACCTGTAGTATGAGATTTGAAGTCTGTTTAGAAATATTTATTGTAAACCCCAGTTGGGACAAAAACTAAACTATAACTAAATGAGACAGAACTTCTAAATTAATCGTTTGACTGAACATGTGAATAACCTTTCAAATAAATAAAGAGAAATTTATTTACAAATCTAGAATTTCCCATTTGTATTACAAGCGTTCTTTTTTTTTTTTTCCTGCAGTTCACATCATAACAAAAATGCTATGGTAGCCACAAGGGCACTCAAACCCTCCCTAACTCAAACAGAACTTTAAAAAGGATTCAAAATTGTATGTCTTTCCTCTCTGGGGCTGCAAATATGATGCTGCAGGAGCCAGACACAGGGTATAAACTGTTCAATCCTAGTTGGACATTTTAGACTTCCGTGAAGTTTAATAGTCTGCCACTGAAATTTTGTTCAAAGTGTCATTAGCAGGCAATGGGCTAGTCTGTCAACTAGCTGATAAACTGCATTTAGTCACCTGAATTCCTTGTCAATATTAAATGGAACTAATCTGTAAAAACTAGAAAAACCATGTCTTCCATATCCTGAATTCAGAGTAGTTGATGGACAAGTTTAAACTCTTGCATTTACAGAAATTTTACCATTTGCCCAAATTGTGCTGCTTTCCAACTATTTAGGGAAAAGTTCACCAATCTATCCTGTTTTCCTTCAGTACCATTGCAGCAAGTAGGAAACAGAAGTATCAATACCAAAGTACTATATTATTTTTCTGAGTGAATCTCATGCAAAATGTCATTACCCAGCCCTCTTTATAAGCCACAAGAGCCAGTTTGGTATACTAGTTAAGGCACTGGGCAAGAAACTGGGAGACCATGACTTACAGTCCTGCCTTAGACACAGAGCCAGCTGGGTGACCCTGGGCTAGTCATACCCTCTCAGCCCTAGCAAGCAGGCAATGGCAAACCACTTCTGAAATCTTGCCAAAAAACCTGCAGGGACTAGTCCAGGCAGTCGCCAGGAGTCAACATTGACTCAAAAGCACGCACACACTCTTCATAACCCTCAGCCACAGAGGTGGGGAAAAGGAAACAGAAGAGTACTAATATTATTAACAGAAGACATCTGTCATGAAATTCTCCAAATGATGAAAATTACATCACATTGTAAGCTCTATCCCTTTT